TGCATTGCACCCATGAATGCCACAAATCAACTCTAAGGACTTCATTTTTATACCAGCTGAGGCTCAGACTCAATATATCCTATTAATCCAGCTTCTTTTATTGGTTAGTGAATATTATGTAAATCTTTATTTCCAGAACACAACTATTCCATAGCAAGGATTTCTCAGAGCTTGTTCATATTTCTGGCAGGTTTGTGTTTCTCTGTGGCCTGTTTATTTTGGTTATTAATTATTCTTGGAGCTTGGCATTTTCATTATGTGGTGGTCATTTGTTTATTTTATTTTTTTTTTTCTTTTATTCTATTTGTTTAAAGTTTATATTAAGAAACCAATATTTATTTCAGAGAAGATATTGAGACACATGGAAAACATTGGGTGCCCTTAAGTGCTGTTGCCATTCTCATGAATGCCTGGTACTGGTTCAAAAACATCAAAATATAATTTTGCCCACATATTGGCCACATAAATGTCCAACAGGAAATTATGAAAATTTAAGAATAGATGAACACAATAGTCAGGCCATTAATTTTGAGGGGAAAATCTAACAGAAAAAAACAACCAACCAACCAACCAATCAACCAAAAACAAATAAACAAACAAACAAACATGGAATTATAGAAGAAAATAAAATATTTGAAGTTGCTGGCATCAATCACTGATCTGATATGACTCCTCATATTTATAAATTGATAAAATGTTCTACACTGTCTTTAAATAGGAACTTAAACAATGTAATATTTCAATGGCTCTTTTTTTTTTTTTTTTCACTACTGCCATTCAAACCATAGATGTTTTCACTCACAGTGGAAGAGCTCAACCCCTGTCAGCCAGATTAATACTGCTGAAATCAACAGTCACACAGATTGACACCAGCTGAAGAGCTGTCCTAATAGTCTGAGTCTATTTATGGGGGCTGAAACCACAGTCATGTCTCCCCAAAGGCAGTATTCTCACTTGAATATAAATGGTTTTGGCTGCATGAGTGAATTAAATATTGAGGTTTCCATTTTTCAGTTTTGGCTGCAGGCTGTTTGGAGAAATAATCATTCAATCCTGGAGTGCTGCCTCTCAGACTGGTTTACCTGAACCAAATTATATATATATATTAGCTATATATAATAGGGTCTATTATCAGCTTTAAATGTACATCAGCATGGGGAAGGCAAACCACAGAACTGTGTGTGCTTGCTCAGAAATGGAAACCTGTCTTGAGTGACATTTCAAGGTATCTCACTTCATGGTATTTTTGAAGGGACTGAGGGAATCCACTAGTGGCTTTACTACATTATCTCATCTCCACATACAAAATACCATCTGGTACCTTCTACATCATGTTACCATGGCTGATCGAGACCAAAGGAGTTCTTGGATCTCTACCTGTATTGTGATTCCTATTCTTTTTCATCTCTGGGAAGACCGTTTAAACAGCAAAGACTGAGTACTACTGCTGTATTGCAGGTTCTTGCACTCTGTGGTGTCATCTCATATCCAAAGACCTTCAAAGGGACAGGCTTTGAATGCAACAGGATGTAACTCTCCTTCCTATCACCTCAGTAATAATGACAACAGCAATAATAGGAAGTGCAGTTTGACTCCTGCATCTCACTTCCCATTCCATAACATGTCATGAAGGTGGTGTTGTTGCCAGCCTTGCTGCTGTTCTCAAGCCCAATGGAGCCTCTGCTGTCCTGCAGGTAAATCCTGTGTGAGAGGGGAACCTCCTCCATCACCCACCCTGAAACATGGGTACTCTGATAGAAGACTAACACAGCTACTTACATGTATTTGGACTTGTTTAAAATCCAGATTCATGACTCAATGACTCAGCCTTTACCTTTTATGAGTCAGGAAATTCCAAGGTACTCTTTTATTTATTTTTTTCCCCTTGGACTCACAGGCAGACTCTGATCTCATTTATTACAGGGTAAATCCACTACAGTCAAGGAGTTATTCCTGCCATGTATTTGCAAGCAAGAGCAGCATCCATCCTCCCTGAACCCTCTTTCTGCTTTTAGTAAGTTCTGTGTTCTTTGGCTTGCTACAGCCCTCAGTAAAAGTGTCAGGCACATCACACAGCATAAAATAAATCAATCCATTTCCCAGTTTATTTAGTCTAAAAAGACTGTAAAACATGATCAAATCAAGAAGCATATTTATGTGGCCAAGAGGGACACATTGAGGAAGGAGTGATGTTAAAGTGCTGGGCTTACAGAATCAGAGCTGTTTTACACAGGGGCGTGCTACCTGTTTCAGTTCACTGTGGATGTTCACTGTGAGTGCAGAGTGACAAATAGTATCATTCACAGACACAATGTCCATGGAAAGTGAAAGGTAAAGAGGCAAAAGTCATTAAAACTATAAAATGATTTCAAAAGCAAGAAAACACAGAAGCCAGAAGACACTGCAACTGAAAAGCAATGTGTCATCTTTGTTTTATTGAAGAGAAAAGTAAGCAGTGATTTACTGCACCTTTGCAAATGTATCCGCTGGAAGGAGGCACAGAATTCTCATCAGCCAAGCAGACATTGGCAGCAAGATTAAACTAGAAAACTCAGACTGAAAATGCAAGACAAATTTTTAATAGTAAATGTAGCTGAACTTACTGAAACATGAAGTAGATTTTCCATCACTTGAAGATCTTAATTTCAGCTTTAATTTTTGAACCACACAGAGCAGTGTCTTTAGAACCTACATTTATGGAGGTCAGTGAAAATATCCCTAGGATTAAACTCAAGTGAGACATAACTGGAGAGATCTTTTTTAGCATTGTCATCCTTGGAAGAAGCTGAGCCCAGGATGGACTGCATGCTACCTTTGAGTTAAACAAAAAACTGAATGTCCCTGTCATATGAGACAATGACATAACTGTACACCCAGTCGCACCTGTAAGTGCACTGATTTGCCATATGCATATAGAAATCACTATTAGAGAGGCTGCTGAGGTAGCTGGATGTCTCAGCACCTTACTGTGGAGCTGCAGGTCCACTCCTTAATCCCTGTCTCATTCAAGCTGAGACAGAGGTTTATGGTCACCACATGACAAAATCCCACAACTAACATGAGATGAGCTGTGGAGTTGCAAGCAGCCAGGTGTCCACATCTCAAAGATTTCATCCTCACTGAAGCACTTGACCACAGCACTAGCTAAGGCATTCTCTAAGGGGAATGAAACACGAAGGGGAAATGCTCAAAAGAGAATGAGATAACCAACTGCTTTGTGAAAACAAAAAACCCAAACACACACACACAAAAAAAAAAATCTTTAACTGCCATTTCTGGTGTCATTCATAAAGTGTCCTTTCCCTCGATTTTGAAGTCTGATAACCTTGGAGCTTTGAACTCTTTTTCCTTTTGCATTTACAAAGCAAAGCTACTTTTGCTAAGACTGCCAGCATGGCCCCTTGAGCTCCAAGCCTGCAAGCACCACTTGTGAGAGGTAACATTCATCCACTTTGCATCTGAGCCTATTGCCCTGCCTGCTGGTGATAGAGAGGGGTGAGCGAGAACTACTGAAATGGAAAGATGCGGAATGAATGAACAGAGGGGAAAGTGAGAGAACAGGGAGAAGGGTGTAGAGGAAGGAGAACAGAAACAGCCCTGGAGGAACCTGACAGAAAATGCATCTACCACCTGGTCTCCAGGGAGGTATGGCCATCTAGGAGGGGGCTGTGGTGGGCGTGATGATGGTGGAGGAGCAAGAGAGGAGGCGACACTTCCTCTGGTTTGCAGCCAAGCTCTGGCTGGATCATTTCCCAGAGCAGCCAGATGTCCAGAGTGTCACAAGGAAAACTTGGTCCTGCTAGAGCTCCCTGGTCCAGCTGGTGTAAAACCATTAAGCTGCCCATCAGAGTGGGAAGTGTGAAAGGTGCTGCAAGGATACATGCTACTGGAGTTTATGCATTCCTTGCTCTCCCCTCTCCACCCACCATCAGCTGTATATCCCTCAGAGCTCAGCAGGGACACAAACCCCACTGCAGCACCAGCTCCCCAGCAGGGTTGGGATGGCTGCCTGGGGCTGGGGGGGACTCACCCCAATCACAGGCAGCACACCTCAATCACAGGGGGTAGCCAAGGGTGGGCAGAGGTTTAGGCACTGGTTCACTTCTAGTTTGGCCACCAGAACACTTACCCACCCATCACTGCCCAGCCTGCCACGCCAAGTAGGAGGGTTTGCCTGCTTTCAACTTTTCCTTGATGCCTCTTTCAGCCCAGATCTTGACTTTTTTGGTTTTGGGTTTCAGACATGTAAAGCTGTTTAATATGAGGTGGTTTTTTGTTTGTTTGTTTGTTTTTTTTCCCCCTCTGGGAGCACTCGTTTTCATTATCCTTAACTATTTCTGTTTACGGGAGAGATGTTAAATTCTTTCAAATGTGGATTTAAAGGGTAGGAGAAAATAGCATGCCTGAGTCTAGGTGGAAATAAGAGAAAGAAAAAAAAATCAGAGATGACACAGGTAAAATCCTTCTAATCAGACCAGGATATGCACTAAGATGGATAAAAGTGATCAGGGTTTAGCTCTGTTCACTGTGGGGTTTGCACTCCTGTACCTGGGCAATATTCATTATGCCCACTGCTGGCATGGGATAGAAATATCTGGAGCTGGCAGAGACCCCAATAAACACCACCAAAATCACCGAGGTGGTACGAAGCATGGCAGGGGACAGTGTGCCCTTCCTTTTGGAAAAGAGGGGTGCCCTGAGGAGCCAGCAGACTGCTTCCCATGGGATGTGCTCACAGGGCTAACCTCCTTCTGCACTGCAAATGGAACCGCTCCTTGTGAGCGATTACATGCACCAAACATCTGGGGATATTTGTATAGATCTAAGCTCGTTAATCACAGTCAGGAAAGCCTGACTGAATGTTTCTTGTCCTAGATGAGTTTCAAGAGCCTGAATGCCACAGGCAGGCTCTGAGCCTTGGACCACTGTGCTGCAGCTTTCCCTTTAAGAGCCCTTTGGCTAAGGCGATGCTCTGAAATGCAGGAGGTGGGACAACACTACACACAAAAATGAAGAAGTGAAGGCAGGAAAAGTTTCTCCAGAGGAAAAATGCAGGGCTTGTCCTTCACCCTGACGTCAGATCTGTCTTTAATAAAATCCCCAAAGAGCCAAGAGAAAAAGGCAGAGTGCCTCGGCTAGGTTGCCAGTTGAGGATTGCTCCGCGTTCCCCAAAGTGGTGTTTTTTTCAAAACGGCTCTAAATCTGGGTTCAATCAATGCATTTAATCCCGGCTTCCAGGGATGAGGTGGCTTTTGCCCTGGATTCTAGCAACAAGCAGCATTTTGCAGGTGAGTTTGGAAACTGCAGGAGAGACTTGTCCTCTGCAAACACACTTGGATTTGGTGCGGGGTGGGCAGAGCGTGGTGCGTGCAGGAGCGTGGGCACGGGTAAATGCATGGGAGATGGGAGAGGGGGGAAAGGTGGGAAGGAAAGGAAAGGAAAGGAAAGGAAAGGAAAGGAAAGGAAAGGAAAGGAAAGGAAAGGAAAGGAAAGGAAAGGAAGGAAAGGAAAGGAAAGGAAAGGAAAGGAAAGGAAAGGAAAGGAAAGGAAAGGAAAGGAAAGGAAAGGAAAGGAAAGGAAAGGAAAGGAAAGATCTCAGAAGTGTGTCTGAACTGAGTCCGTCTCCACTCAGCATCCAGGTGGATCTGCACAGAAAACCGTGGAGTTTTTTGTTTGCTTGCTTTCTTTAATCACTGCCATTCTTACTGTGGAACAAACAAGGAGAGAAAGATCACCCATTGCTGCTTGAAGCGGTCAGGGTCAGGCTGCGAGGGGAGCGGCTCGGGGACGAAAGGGTCCCCGGGGGTGCCAGGACCGGGGCTGGAGCCGTGCCGAGCCGTGCCACAGCCGGGACCGGCACCGGGACGGGGACCGGCACCGGGCGCCGCCGGGCGCTCCCCGCAGGTGTGCGGCTGCCGGAGCCGCCTCGGGGCCGGGAAAGGAAAAGTCTTTTTTTTTTTTTTTTTTTTTTTTTTTTTTTTTTTTTTATCCCTGCTTCTGCCGGATCTCTGTTTTCTGGTTTGGGCGTGCGGTAGCTGCTTTCCTTTGCCTCCTCTTTGGAGGACAAAAAAAAAATAAATAAAAGAAAGAAGAAAGAAAAGTGTATGGGAGAGCCACTCATTTCTGGAGGTGTTTTCGTTTTGCTTTTCTTTTCCCAGTGCATGCTTGTGGCTTGTGTAAAATCCCCGGGGGTAAGAGCAGTATAGCAGTTGTGTTTCGGAAGGTAAAAATCAAAGCAAGGAGGTGGAGGGTGCGGGGGGTACCTGTCCCCAGCGGAAGAGCCACTGAGCAGCCATGTGTCCCCTCATCCCCATCCCCATCTTCATCCTCATCCTTATCCTCATCCCTGGAGCCCCGGGGACCCCAAAAGAGGTGCAGAGGGGATGCTTGGACACGCTTGGGCTGCCCAGCGTGAGGTTGTGGCATTCCCTGAGCTGTGAGGCTGTGTGAGGCTTCTGCCCAGAGGGGTGGGGGAAATCAGCTGCTTCACACAGGGGGGGTTTTGCTTTGCAGGGCTGCTGGCACCAGGGTTGGCTTGCATATAGAGAGATAAAGAGGGGCTTTAAAGCAAGAAAGTAGGAAAGTAGCACGCGCGGTGTGGTACACCAGACGCACCTGTGTGACAGCCGATGGCAGAGCGATAAGTCCTGCTTGAATGTGGAGATGGACTGATACGGTACCCTCCAAGAAAAAAAAAATAGAAAAAGAAAAAAAAAAAGTGCCACAAAACTAGCAACAAACAAAATGCATCTCTCCGAGGTAAGAATCTACTCTGTTTTTTGTTGAGCAAGTAAAAAGCCACCCAAAGGGAAGGGGGACCCCAACTCCTGCCCCTACCCCTCCACAAGTGCTATTTCCAGGACATGTGTGTGAGCCCTGAAAATTTTGTCGTGGTTATCCTGGGTTCCCTTGATATCAAAGACATTTGTCAAAAAAGCAGCTGCAGCATGAAAGTATGTGTGAGTGCATGCAGACACATGCGCCTGCTGTGGGGATGAGTAAGTAAGTGCAATCCAAATATTGCTGGCAGTATGCTTGGGCTGAAGACTATCTGAAAGAGCATCAAAAATAGCCTACAAAGAGTCCTGGTTCTGGACAGTTTCCAGGTCAAGACCTCCACCCAACAGTGCAGGTGGAGCTCTGTCTCTGCTCTGGAGTAGGGAAGATTTCTCTCCACTGAAGATTTCTCTCCAGGCTTTCTGTGGGGTCTTCTCCACACCTGAACTGGGGTGGGGTGGGTTGGTAGGCTGATGAAGGGCAGGTTTCTGCCTAAGAGGATGAGGGAGTGGGAAAGAATAGTGTGATAGGATGGAGGGACAGGAGAGGTAGGGGACAGCAAGTGGGAGGGAGCATTAATCTGCAATATCTAAAGGACTTTTGAGAGAAGACCAGGCTTGGTCAGGTCTGCTTAAGAGAAGGATGTCCAAAGGTGGAAGAGATGTTACAAAGTAGTGTGGGGTGTGGTATTTAGCCAGCATGGCCACCCTGCCCAGGAGAGAGAACCCTGCTAAGTCACCCAGGTCACAACAGATGAGTGCTGATAAAGCCATGACACAGCCCCACCTCATTGACCATTGTGTCTTTGGTAGCATATCCCAACAACAGTAAATATCTTTCCAACACTGTGCACACACCCATGGAGTGATAGCACCAGGCAGGCCACTGTGCATGTGCAAAGCTCCGTGGTATCCCTGGGGACCTGTGACATCCTCAAGAGTGATGTCAATATGATAAAAGAGGAGAAAAAAAAAAAAGCTACACTAGGATCTGGGAAGGAGATGTATATCTTAAAGTGCGTTTCAAAAGGCAGCTCTCAGGTTCTCAGGATGGACAGACCATCACTCCTAGTGCTGTATTCAGCCACAGGCAGTTTCTGAGCCCTTAAACAGTTTTATTGATGAAGTTTTGTACTGCGGCCTAACGGTACAGGCAAAGGGTTGGGAAAGAGAAAAGCAGCAGAGCATAGTTGGAATTTCATACATAAGTTTTCAAATGAGAAATATTGAAATATTTTTTATAGATATATGAGCAGATACCATGGGAGGTCCAGTCCTGTCAGCTCAGCTGACGAAATGCCTGTCTGGGTGCATTGGCCCCTCTCAGTGCTGTGAGCCAGGACCTCCTGCTCCGAGCCCTCACAACTCAGCAGATATGAGACTCGGATTCATTCGGATTGGACAAAATATCCCAGACCAGGGTGATTAGGAAAGCAATTCTGCATTTTGTAGAAACTTCATAAAAGAGATTATATGTGAAGAAGACTAGCACTAAGATTTTCTAAAACATGTGAAGTAGGGGAATGAGGGTGTATAGGTAAGGAGTGAATGCAGTTCTGCAGACTTCTCCTTTAATGATGCTGGTAAACAGCAGGTCAGCTGTCAAACAGAGGTGTTGCTCTTCATAACAGGGATCTGGTTTAGTGGGCAATATTGGTGGGAGGGGGTTGGTTGGACCAGATGATCTTGGAGGTCTTCTCCAACCTTATTGATTCTGTAATTAATTAGTGACTTGTAGGTAGGTTTTGATGCTTTCATTTGATGTGATGGCAGTCATGGCACACAAACACCGTCCTTTTGGCTTTAGTGGGTGGGAGGGAAAAGAAAGATGTTCAAAGACAGTTTTATATAGGCACATTCTCCATTTGAGCATTAATTTCATTAGGTAGTCACCAATAATGACCTGAGTTCAGGGCTGTCACAGGTTGTGTGGAAGGTGGTTTGAGAACTGTAATACGTTGTTTTTTTCCCCTTCCCCTCTTTTATATATTGGCACAGATGTGAGGCCAAGAATTTCATTTGCAAAATATTTAGATTTGGTGGCAGGAAAAAATGATTACATTTCTCTCATTTCTTCCAGGAGAAATCACATTCTGACCAAGTTTGAACCTAAATAAATAAATAAATAAATATTAAACTATCTACGGATTTATTTATTAATTTATCTATTTATTTAGCTAGAAGCTCCCATACAGTTCAGTACTAAATGCTCCAAACATTATTCTTATCTGCAAAAATCCTGTGGCCCTCCAAGAGAGGTGAGCTGGGGTTTGTCTGCAGAGTGCTTTGTAAAGGAAGGCTGCAGGATTGCAACACTGGTAATGGTACATGGCTAATCTTAGGCAGCAGGGGTTCAAGGTTGATATTACTTTTACCTCTCACCTTCCCACCATTCCCTGTTGCTTAACAGAAGCTGCTTACCAAAATGAGTTTGGCTATGATTCTCCTTAGGATGGTCTCTATCCTTCACTTCCCTAAATTGTGGATGACAATTAAAATTACCCTGATTAGAGCAGCTGAAGAGCCATACAAGTGAGCATGCTGTGGCTCAAAGTTGCATCCCTGTGGATATGGCTGGGTGGGCTCTCCCAAAGCTGGTCTTTGATTCAGCAGACCCCCTCACAAATCCCCAGGCATAGCAAAATCATTACTATTTCTGAGGCAACATCTTGAAAGCAGCAATGGATGGTGCTTCAGATGGATCAAAGGTCCAGACCCAAATTATTTTTTAAGATACCCCCTATGTCTGCTTTTATGCATGTTTTTTATAACTTCTCCCATCGAGCCTCCGGGTTTGCTGTGACAGCCATCAGGTGCCCGTGTGTGACAGTGTCTTTGCCAACACTAACCAAAACAGAGAACCAGGGAAAGGGCTTAGCCTCCTTGCTCCCCTCTCACCAGTGCCACTGCCTGTTCGTGTCACATTGTGCAGGTCCTGTACATATTTCCCTCTGCAGCAGCCCTGCGAGTACTCCTCTAGCAGGGCTTCCCTGGGGAAAGCCATTTAATAAAGATAATAGATGTGGGGTTTAGCAAAATCATGCGATTTATATTATTGTGCTGTGTATCTGTCCTGTGAAAGAGTTGCACTTGTTTAGGTTCTTCTGCCTTCCCGAGGTCCAAGGTGCTGGGAAAAGGCACTGGCCAAAATTTCAGAAGTCTTCCACATCCACACGGAACATTTGATTTCTTTCTTCGGAAGCTCTGGCCTCCCATGTTGGGGAGCTAGGAGTTGCTTCAGCAACTTGCCAGTGCTCATCTTACTGAGAGCTGCTCTTTTTGGATGGCCTCAGTGTCCCAGCGGGGTCTTGAGCATTCCTGTCTGGACAGCCTTGGCTCTCATGTGTGAATGGAAATGAAGCTGTTTAAAAAAAAAAAAAAAAAAGGCAAAGAAATAGTATTATGCATGTGAACATTGGCAGCAGTGACCTGGCAAAAGCTGAACAGCCACGGCTTCAGCTGAAGATACTTTAGGGTATCAAGCCTGTCAGTCGCTCAAACTGGGGACCAGA